CATACAGCCTGTCTTCCTTCCTCCCTCCCTGCTCATGTTTAGAAGGCGACTTAAAAGGCTGCTTTTCAGGGAGGCCTTCCACACTGACCCTGCTTGACTTTTCGGCCTCTAGTCCTGCCATCTCATCGAGAACTCACTCTTGGTGTTGTTTGCTTTATCGTAACGTTTTTCATTTTTTATTGGTTATTTGTAGCTTGTTAGCTATGTTTTATTGATTGTTTTAGACCGCCCAGAAGAGTGAGTCGCACTGAGAGGGCGGTAAAGACATCAAAGAAATCAAGAATTTTTGGAGGCAAAGGAACTCAGGTTCAGAAGTCACCGTAGGCGTTAGCTGTTGCCGGCTGAATTGTGTGCAGCCCCAGAGTATGTTGTCCATTTGGTGGGGGATCTTGTCAAAGTCTTTCTCAGCGTCCGCTTCTCGGTCCAGCTGGTGGAGGTCCTGCTGATGTCCCACGGTCACGTCCCTGAAGGACAGCACGCGTTTTGGACAGCTTTTACCAGATCAAGCACCCTCCACACGCAACTCCAATATCCCAGCCGTGTTGCTGAAACTAAAGCACGACTCTGGCCTCTGGTGGCCTATTTGGGGAATTCACGGGGCACGTGTTCCCTCAAAGCATCGCGTTGAAGTCTGTGGCGGGAAAGTACGAAAGGTAGCTGGAAAGGGGAACGGCTCCAGTGGATGAAAAACAGGAAAGCGGTTGAATCACACCGAGGTCTTTATGGAAATGTCTTGAGTCCTATGCATCATCGGTGCGGCAGAAAGAGAGTAAAGGCTTTAAGAGGATTTAAGCCCTTTTCATCCTGTTGATTTCAACAACAAAGTCACATATCCCAGTATTTTAGCTTCTCTGTTTTAGCATGGGGCCTAATACAATACACAAGCCCTGCCCAACCATCTAAAACTTACTGGCAGAGATGGGTGCGAACCAGGAAACGGGGGTGGTTCATGATGGTTCGTGGCTACCCACAAATCATAAACCATCATGATTCCCCCGCCCCAAAAAATGAACCAGTTCACAGTTTGTTTTTTAGGTGCCTGCCTGCCCCCTTCCCAGGACCCCGCTATCGGCTGGGCAGCGGGCGCATGTGCAGAGGCTTTGAGCCGGCTCCTAGAAGGGAAGCCAGCCTGCTGTCTCTGATGATGGCAGCCACTGCAGCAGGACCAGGAAGTAAGGTGATGGAGGGTGCAGTGGAAAAGGAGCAGACGGGCTTCAGTTTTGTCAAAACAAAGCACTGGGGGAGGGGGGAGGGTTCAACGCTTTGTTTTTGCTTCAGCAAAATAGGATCCCCCGAACCAGTTCGCAAACCGAACCACAAGCCAGCCAGATTCGTTGGGTTTTCTGGTTCGTGTCCATCTCTACGTGCCAGGTAGGAAGAACAGCCACCCATCCCGTCATGCTTCCGTCTCCCTCCTTCTGCTCCTATTAAATAAAGGCAAGTTTCAAATAAGGTAGCTAGCTGTGCACAGCCGACTGGACCCAGCCACTTAAAACAGAGACGTCAACTGAACCATGAAGGTGTAATGGAGTCTCGAAGGCCCACCACCACCATCCCCCTCACCTATCATGTTTTTTCTCCTCTTTTCCCCCCACCAGGAGCGAATCCAGGCAGACGAAGTCATTGCGGCCTTAGACCAAGAACGCTTTGGGTCCACCAAACTCGGCATCAACCCCAAGGATGAGCTATGAACCTGGCCAAGGACACCCGATTAAAATATTTATTTAATATTTGTTTTTTTAAAAAAATCTTATCAAAACCCTTTATTTTTGTACAAAGCTTTGGTATAAATTAACAGGGGCGGGTTTGACATGGAATGGTTCCAAAGCACCCCCCACGCTCCACTTCCTGCCTTGGGCATTAGCGGACGTTGCTCCCTCTCCCCGCGTCATGGATGCAAATCATGCGTCTTCTGGGCATCTCGAGTGTCTCCCCAAACACTTTTCTGGATTCCTGCTCTAGACTACGGTCCGGACCCCGTTTCTACCAGCCAGTCTCCTCCCTTCTTTGGCCAAATGGTACCAGCGTGAACCTGGATCTTTTCTCTCAGCCTGCTTTGCCTCTAGTCCGAGGTTTCGCCTGTCTCCTCGGATGCAAGTCCTTTCTTTCCCACGTGCCCAAGGATGCTCCAGGCCTGAGTCCCCTGGTATTAAAAATAACTCAGCCCCTTTGCGCTGGACCTTGGGCCATGTGCTAGAGAAACCTCGTTTGGCTTCTTGGTGCAGATGCAACTCTTTTAAATCATTTGTATTGGGGGTGGGGGTGAGAGTCCCCGTTTCTAAACCGTAAATCATCCTCATCTGGATTTCTTCATACTTGGTGGGAAAGGAAAATTGTACCAGGCTGGGTTAGCCAAAGTCAAAGGTTCCTCCAACCCCTGCTACTTCTGTCAGTGGCCAACCCTTTCATCCCAAGAAGGGCAGCCCAGGTCGGAGGAGAACCCTCCACTTTTCCTGAAGAAGCGTCACCACCCCCCAATCGCCATCTGAACAACGATCAAGGGCAGGTGATGGGAAAAGCATCCAAAGCTCGTAGTTACTATTTTTCCTGGAGGCCATAGCATCCAAAACCAGTCAACCAGCACGTCTGGCGACTGAACAGCCATGCATTTCTGGACTCCTGTTCCAAAAGTTTAATTTTTCAACTGGGGTAAAAAAAAAAACAACAACCTCCACAGCCTGGAACTTTGAAGATCTGCTTGTAGATCTGAACAACCCTGAGTCAGAGAAACAGGGGTCTGGCCTGGGTTAAGAACGTTCCTGTAAATGGATGAAAATTCTCCCTCTTCCTGCTCTTGGCCCTCCACCCTATGGCATGTAAGTGTGCTGCTTTCTGGTGGTTCTAGTTGTTCTTCAGGCAGGTCCCCACTCTTAAGGATCTGTCAGATCAATTTGCAAAACGGCTCATCTCCTCCAGGGCTGGCTTCCATAGTGTGTTGAGCGAGGAAGCGCTCCTCCTGAACGCGATATGCCAGGACCTTGATTGGGGGAAGCCCTAAATAAGCCAGCCTTGACACTCCAGGGAGTTTTGCAATGGAAAAAAGAATTGGGGGAACCCCAAAGGAAATAGAAAGGCTCTCCAGTCTTTGAGATGGGAATAGTTTTATCACCTGTTTCCCAGGTAAAGAAGGAGAGATGAGTAAAGAAGGAACGAGAAATCCCCAAAGTTTGAGGACCTGTGATTCTGTGGCACAGGAGAAAGAGGAGCACTACTTCTGTTGGCGGTGGGGGCTTTGTCCGTCCCTGCATGGGATGTTTTTTGAGGGCTGGAATCCTCTGCCCAAGTCTCCATTAAAAGGAACAGGATCCATGCAAGATCTTGCAGGGGACGTCTTTCAGGAGGGAGGGGTTGGAAAGGGGGCATTGGTTAAATTGCAGTACTGCGGCTGAGACGCTGCTCAGCACCTGGCTTCGATCGGGTTCAGGTAGCTGGCTCAAGGATGACTCGCCAGAACCTTGATTGGGGAGCCCCAAATAAGCCAGCCTTGACACTCCAGGGAGTTTTACAATGGAAAAAAGAATTGGGGGAACCCCAAAGGAAATAGAAAGGAGCTCCAGTCTTTGAGATGGGAATAGTTTTATCACCTGTTTCCCAGGGAAAGAAGGAGAGATGAGTAAGGAATGAACGAGAAACCCCCAAAGTTTGAGGACCTGTGATTCTGTGGCACAGGAGAAAGAGAGGCACTACTTCTGTCGGCGGTGGAGACTTTGTCTGCCAGCAGAATTCCAGAGACAGAATTGGGTTGGATGCATCTGGCTGTTTGGTCCTCTGTTTCTTCTGGCTCAGGGTGCAACTACACTGCCCAAATAATCTGAGAGTTGTCAGCCCTCCATCCTTCCAAGTACCCACAGCTCATGGAGCTGGGGGGGATTGTTCCTTGCATATTTGTGTGGTAAACTGCTGCTCTAGCCCTGTGGAGCCATTTATCAGTTGAAGCAGTCACAAAAACGTATCATGTCACCTGTTTTGCTGTCCACGTCTCCACCTCAAATCCACCACCTGAAGGATTTGCTTAATGGTTTTGGCTTAGAGAGGTGCTAATTTGTGTTTCTGTTACAACCCCTTCCAGCTGGTCCAGTCGCTGGGCTGCCAGCAGAATTCCAAAGACAGAATTGGTTTGGATGCATCTGACTGTTTGGCCCTCTGTTTCTTTTGGCTCAGGGTGCAACTACATTGCCCAAATAATCTGAGAGTTGTCTCATGGTGTTATGGTATTGATTCATGCCACATGTTCTTTGTATCACTGTCTCTGTTCTCCCGGGGCAGCCTCAATTTGAACCATGTTGTTTTGGGTCAGGAAACTACACCACTATTTAACTTGGCTTCAATAGACCTAAACTGGCACTTTGATAATCCATGTGTGTCCTGAATTCTATCTCTGTCCATAACCTTGTCCAGAGTTAATTTTTTTCCTCTCTCTTTTTTTATTCTAAATGGCATAGCGCCGTGTGAATATTGTAGACAGAGAACCTCCAGCCCCTAGGTGATACAACACTAAAATTAAATGGTTGGTTTAAAAAAATATTTTAAAAGGGAAACTGTTCAGAGAGCAGGAATAATTGCTGGTTTCCTGATGGAACAGCATCCTGCACGACCTCAAACACATGACCAAGATGTCACCGCAGGGAGTGGTCCCACCTCCAGACTACAATGACAGAACCGTTCACACAACCAAAAAAGGGGTCAAAAAGCAGCAATGTAGATTGATTTAAAATAAGCAATTGATGTTGTTGAACACCAACCGGTGTTTTAAAAGACACAATCCCATGAAGAAAAGTGTGAGTTTTCCCCGCGCTTACAATCATGTCATGTAATCAGGAAATTTGAATTGATTCGCATCATGCTAAACCTGAAGTGAGTGGAGGAGTATATTTCAATGCAGTTGCACTCTGAGTTGCTTTCGACCACAAGATTGTGCTCTGGGTAGTTTTTGTGTGTATGTGTGTTTTGTTTTTGCTTTTTAAACCACAACTGATCTGTAATCAAGCCTGGACCACACATTGGCGCTACTTTCATGGGTCTCAAGAATAAGCGGCATCCAAGAATATGCAGGGAGGGGGCTCCTAGATCGTGCCTGCCCTGCCGGGTTGGTTTGGGGGTGTGTGCGAAGTGAACCACAGAGCTGTGTCTGAACCCAGGGAAAATAAATTAAACTCAGAAAAAAAGAGATCTGTGTGTGTTCGGTCTCCTTTTTTATTTTGGTTTTCAGGAAAGCAACGAGAAGGAACTAAAACCGGAAACCGGAGTCTTTTTCCGTCACTGCAACCCTCCCTATGTTTCCATCTGGAAAAGAAGAAGAAGAATCATTATTTCTTGCCCGATGAGCCTTCCGGTTGGTCTGCTTTTGTCACCATGTCAGTGGCATCTGAAAGGAAAGCTTCCTGTTCTCCTGCAATCCAAACGTCTTGCCGGTTCTTGTACTTCAGAAGGATCAGCTCCAAAGTCCCCCTTCTTTCACCAAGCCTTGTGCAGGAGAATAGCCAGCAGCTTGGGGGCGGGGGGATGCGATGCTTACTGGCTCACCTTTGTGGTATCTTCTCACGAGGTTCATGCCGCATGGTGTCTTAGCATTTTTCACTCCCTCAGCCAAGTTGCATCTTTGGTTTAATTCCTGACCCGCCTGAACCACATTGATAGCGAACTGCAGAGAAGCATCCGCAGCGCTGCTGGGAGGTCTAGTCACCTGTGAACATTATTTTTCACTGGCCTTTTGCTGATGCACAGGAGTTGTGCATGCATAGAAAAAAAAACGACATCTCGTTTGGGAGAGCACTTGAGCATTGTTTTGGGAACTGTATTTTTCACAAAAAAACACAGAAGACATCTCGGCTGACTCGTATGGGAGAGCACTTGAGCATTGTTTTGGGAAGTGTGCTCAATGCGCACTTATGGTGATATCTGCATCCATAGGAATCAGAGCTAAGGAGATGCCATCTGAGTTGAAAGTTGAGACAAACAGCACCATTTTCTTCTGGAATTAACTTTGGACCCACCTCGTTAAAATAGAGAAGTAAGGGACAGCCCGCACATATAAGGGTAGGGGAATTGGAGCAGAAGGATTAAGTGTAGGCACTGCCTTGGGACAAATGGACAAAGGGGGCAAGCCAGGATGAGCTGGGCAATCAAGGGTGGCTACAGGGCACAGCATGGAGCTGCCGTTCAAAACAGAGCAGTACCATAACAGATCCGTTATGGTAATTCGTTCTGTACTTGCACAATGTCCCGCACATATAAGGGTAGGGGAATTGGAGCAGAAGGATTAAGTGTAGGCACTGCCTTGGGACAAATGGACAAAGGGGGCAAGCCAGGATGAGCTGGGCAATCAAGGGTGGCTACAGGGCACAGCATGGAGCTGCCGTTCAAAACAGAGCAGTACCATAACAGATCCGTTATGGTAATTCGTTCTGTACTTGCACAATGTTATGTTGGACAGTTCCTGAACCAGGCTTTTGACTGTAGCCACTCTGCCATGCTACCTCTCCCTTTCAGTGGGAATGTCTGGAAGAACTAAAAATGGGGAGAGCTGTGAGCAATGGCTGGGATCTTTCTGCTCCAACATGCTTTTCAGTCTGCAAGTCAATGTGTGCTCCAGAGGTTCCCAACCTTAGAATGCTGATAGGAGGCTACTAGCTCCCATAGAAATCAATATTAGCCATTCAGGAGTTTAACCGAGGCAAGAACTGGAAGGTTAGTATTACAATTCCCCTCTCACTCACCTTCCAGATACTGGCTTGAAAGGATTGGTATAGTTTTTCAAGAAAGAAGAACAAGAAGAGGTAAAAAAAATTAAAGGACAATTCAAAAATTGGGAGATGGGAATTCCAGGTACAAAACAATTATTTATTATTTATTTATTTATTTGATTAAAGGACAATTCAAAAATCGAGAGACGGGAATTCCAGGTACAAAACAATTATGGGTACAGGATTACAGGATACAAAAGAGAAATACCAGAAAATTCTAAATACTCTTATCTCAGCTGAGTAGAGTGATGGAGTAAAACTGAGAAGACGCTCCCTGTGTTCCCCAGGCACAAATTCTTATATGGCAGACAGAGGTCTACTTGTGACTAACTCAGCCACTAGGAAACAAAACACAGCTTCCCCAAACTATGCTAAGCTTCAAAAGACTCAAAAGCTAAATTCTCCTTTAGACACATGAATGTCCCATTGACACCAGGCCTGACCATTACATAATTATTCTTAATCCTCTTTGATCATTCTCGCATGCTTCCTTTCCAGCTTCAAGAACTGCCGACCCTCAGGCAAGGCAGCATGCCAACTTCCTAACTTACAGATACAACAATTTAGTGACTCTGATATACAGAAGAGATAAACAAAAGACGAAGTTTGAGTGTTAGGCTCCTCTTTGAAGTCTTCTTGATAGTCCTTTGAAGTAACCCCAGATTGGAGATAGGGAAGAGGTGTGAACAGACAGTTTCCAGGGGGTGAAAGTTCATGTTCCCATGCCCTTACAGACAGGCAGAAAAAGTCCATATAATGTACTTCATTTTCATGTTCCTTCATAATCTCTTCAACAGAGGGTTCACGATTTGACATGAGGGAAGGGGTTTTCAGAAGCACTTTACAAATGGGTGGGTGGCGATCCATCCCACGATCTTCTCTGGCTGCTCCAACCACCAAGGCAGAAAGGAGCACTCAGATTGAAGTACCTGTCCCCTTGCAGCTGCTTCAGCATCTGTTTCATGGAGCTGTTGGGGAAAGATAATTTTTTTTCTGCTCAAAACATTGTAGTGTACTGTGCTGAGAAAAGGTGTGCTGTTGTCCAATATGGAAGGAGGCCATGACTGTGCTGGTTACAGCTGCCAGTAGTTATGGCATGATCAAAGAGGATGGGTCTGGATCAGCCGACGCACCTGCTACTGGTGTGCAAACCAAGGTAACTAGAACTTGGGCTTAACCATGTGGGTGTTTAAGTCCCACCTTTTTCTCAGCCATTCTCCCATTGGCACGAATTGCAAGGCACAGTCCAGCACAGGCCGTGATGGGACTATTTCCACCTCTCTCTCTCTCTGCTGAATTGCTCCCTTCTCAT